TTTTTATTATTCAACTACCAAGAATTGCTGGTGGATGTTTTGATGGACTGCAAGGTGTGTGACCTTAATGGTTTTGTTTCTTCATTTGCTCTAATATGGTACAGAAGACATGTGGTCACTGTGTTAGATGAATAATATTTGCCCTAGTTAACTTGATCTAGGAGTGTTATGTTTAGAAAAGACAAGTAAGTGAATGATTGGACCAAGTTGACCATTGTCTACAGTACAATGCAAATTCTGAATCTAATTAAATCAATACAATTCTCATTCAGGTGGTAAATGGCTAGCTGCACATATAGATGATTTGAGACCACCGCTGTCAAGCCATCCAGAAATTACTGCTCTGCAGAACCAATCAATGAGTGCTGTCTTTGAAAGTGACATTCCAAAAAGGCAACAACTGAATAAGACTTCTCCCAGTGATTCTGGGAATCAGATACCTGAGGAATCAAATGATATAATGGAAAGTGAGATGAAACACATGCCAGTTGATGTGAAACTTATGAATCTAAACATGGAGGAAGGCAAGTCATATTTTTTATGTGTATTGATTCTCATCAGAACATTATTTCACATGCCGGCGCTCAAACTGAGTTTTCAGAAGTTGAATTGCCCCAACTGTGCAACAGCCAGGCTATACTATCATCTTCATCCAAACACTTGTATACCTGGCAACCCTCATTGCTGAGTTCAACATCAATGCTACTCAACCACAACTCAAGCTGATTATTTGAAAATGCACTTTAGTACTATTATCTGATTGGCTGGGCTTTCAGGTCATGTTGGGTCAGTGAATGTGTTTTCGTGACATAGGAGAGAGTGTTTTGCTCTCATTTTTTTGGCATGTGTAAATTTTATTTGCAAAGTTGATGACAGCTTCTGATTAGTGCAGTGGGACAACTCAAAAATTGGAAGTGATTTCTGTAGTACATGTATAGTAAAAAATTGAATTTTGAATGAGTTGTAATGATGTAAGCATCATCACACAACTACATTCATTGGTCATTATTATGTCATGTGCAGTCAAGTGTGATTTTTTTAACAGGACAACAAATGGAAGTTGAATCTGGGGGAGATGAAATCATAGAAGTTGCCCCTTGTGAAGAAGATTCACTTGAAACAGCTGGACTATTGTATGAGGCTGGTTTTATTGGTAAAGTACAAGAGGTGCCAAGTTGTGCTGTTAAAGTGCCAGGAGTTAATGGTGAGATAATGGATGTAGATGTTTCCGATAAACCTGTTCTCCTGGATACAAGAGCATTGTTGAAATGTTGCATTCAGTCTGCTGCTGTAATGTTAGAAGATGAAGAGTGTAGAAAACACCGATCAACAGGTCGAATTGATATTCTACTAGAATTGTTTAAAAGGGAAGGCAGCAAACCCAGTAAGTACATTGCACATTTTAGAGAGAAGTCAAACTTTGACTGATTTGGTATTACACTTTCAGAGTGTAATAGGGCCTCCCTTCCATAAACTGTGTTGGCATACAAGGCTCTACCATCATAATTTCTGGGTGTAAGGAGTCCTACAATCAATCATTGTGGGCATAGAAGCAAATGAAAAATGATTTGACAACACTCTAACCTTTTCACCACCAGACTTTCTCCCCAAAATTTGTCTGCACTTTTTTCTTATATTCTTCAATAACCCTAATTTTGGAGCCAATAGTCAAAATTTGAGTCAATTTTCATTTTTACTCAAAAAAATTGGGTATTTTTGTCCCAAAAGTGCCGAATATAAAATGGGACTATTTTGTAAATTTGTGATGAAAAAATGGAATTAGTGGTGAAAATTTGATAACTAATTGGACTGTTCCATGCATGGCTTGTTAACTATTACCATATATCGTGTATTGCCCAGCCTCATAAATGCTAAGAAGTGCGCCTTCACATCAGGACAATAATTTTCTATATCATGCCTGGACTAGTGCATCCTAATTTCATCAATCAAAACAGAACGCGTCATTCTAAATTATGTTGTATTTGAGGTCACGCCGTGGTAAAATTGTAATTCCACCTACAACATATATGATAAAACTGCCCTCGGTCATACAGCTTACACCGCAAAAGCTGTACCAGTGTACCAAGTTTGAAACAAATTGGTCAAAGCAAAGCAGGCCATGTACAAAATAGATCTCTACAATAGGATTTGTCTAAAACCAAGTAGCCACCAGGCATTTTAAGTCAAATTTGCAAATCAACTACCCATATTTGTTAATCCTTTTACCTACATTTTTGTACTTTAAAGAAAACAGAGGCTGAGATCTGATTCCTAATAAAAAGTATTATTATACATCACCATAACACAATAAGTTACAGCGTGCCGTAATTTTGCGATATTTTACGGGGTATTTCCATCCTACCATATTAGGATATTAGGAAATGGGTCCTCTTATAATAAAAACAAACATGGCTACCACCAGAGTTTGATCGGACTCCAGACAAAGAAGGTCGTTGATTCTGTTCTAAACATTTTGAACTCCCATGGTGTATCCTTGGAAGGAAAAGATGTATAATAATAAGGTTATTACTCAGACAGTACACATACTCCAGCTGTACTGTCTTCATGCATACTTTGAGGTATTCTCGTAATAACCTTATAATATCTACTATTGTCACAGATCAGCTGAACTTTGTTGAAATCTTAAAGGAACGTATTTGTCAACTACTGAAAGAGAAAGATCAAAGATCACACGATCCAACTCAGTGGTTGTGTAAACAAGCTTTGACTGGTGAAAGTGTTCAGACCAGTGGAACTTTCAGGTAATGTGTTTTTTCCAATCAAGAAGATAGACTAAGTGTTTTCTAGCTACCAGAACTATCAGGGAAGTGGGTGGGTGATAACCAAGTACTGTAAAAATACTAATTGTCATCACATTTCACAGGCGTGCTATATGGCAAAGTCTGGTAAGCACAGTAACACCACTGTTAGCACAAGTTATAGGCTTTGCTGACCGCAATGACAACTTAGATCTGATCCTGAAGTCACCATCTGGAAGCTGGATTCATCAGTTATGGTTGCAAATACTCAGAAATCAGAAGTTATTAGAAATGACATACGAATCATTCTTATCACCTGTGAAGAATACACCAAGGGAAATCGTGCCTGTACTTGCATCCGGTGTGAATGGCAGCTTTTTTACTGCTCATTGCCCATTTTCCTGGGTCATCAAGCAGTTTGTTGAAGAGAAATGGGAGGAAGCACAAAACATGAAAGGTTAGATGATTCTTTATATATATTGACACATTGTTGCCAGAGAAGCTCAGTTTTTTCAGCAACACTGTTTTAACACAACACATCTATGTTTTGCCTATTCAGCTTCCACTGGACAGCAGAATATTGACACTACTTTTGCTGAGTTGCTTTTGGAAGCAGAACTTGGCCAAACAGTGTTGAGCAATCTATCCAATTCTGACTTCAGTGAATTCATGCATTCCTATCTTCATGATTTTGTCAGGATGATATATAAAGCAAGCAGTGATCATGAATATGAGGTATGTGTGCTGTGATTCATTAATAGTTATATATGTCTGTACTGGCATTTTATTAAAATACTGTACTTTATTTTCTCTTGGAATTTATTTTTTCTGAAGGAATGAATCAGTGAAAATACATTTTTTGGTTTATATACAACTCGCCAAAAATCAGTAAAAATAGAATTCATACAAAACAGTGAAATTAAATTAAATTGAAGTTCTTTATACATGTAGTAGTAATATTGAACACACAACATAGTATTTCTTTGAGGTATGATCTGTGAAAACAATAAAAATCATCACTATGTGTATGAGATGAAGATACAAAAATGTATCTCCCATTCGAGAACTCAAATAATTTATGATAGATGGAATTTCCACTTGCTTGTCCAACTTTAAAATAATTATTTACCCATGATTTTTTGTTTTGGGATCAGCAGGATTTTCAGCACATGTCACCATGGTTACTATTTTTCATTTTCTCATTATCCACACATTTACTATAATTTACATGTGAGGGGGCTGTTTACATTGACTCTATGTGTTTCATTCTCATTAGGTTGTATGCAGAGCAATACATATCGGTTCTTTTGAATATCACCAAGCAGAAAGTCTGGAAGAATTCTTTTTTGCAGTTCCTGAAGTACACATGTCATACCATCGTATCCGTGGACGACTGGACAGCTTCTTTCAGATTGCACGTTTACTGCCTGTTGATATCCTAGAAAGAATTCCAGCGGAACAAGAAATGCAAGTGGTCAGTATGTTTTGCTGTCTGACTATCATTATATTAAAATCATTATTAAACATTTGCCAATGATAAGAAGCCTGATAGATGTGTTCAAAAGTAGAATTTTAGAAAATTTGCATCACGTTTTGTCACATTTGATTGTGACATTTTTTGTTTACATTGGATGCAAGAACATTATAGCATGTGATGGGGTAATAATCCTGTCTGGACACTCTCCCCCAAACAAAATTTTAATTTGTGTGGAAGCTTTTGTTGATTTTAACTCCTGTGAATATATATTTCACTAACTTAAAAATGTTTGTGTGTGTTTTTTTTATGTAAATTGATGTTGCTGTGTATTTTAATTTTCTAAATATTCCTATTATCAATATAAAAATCAACTTAAAACTCTCCCACCTCAAAACATTTCTAAGCTTCTGTGATAATGCAAGACTGTCTCAAATATACATGTAGGTGATAATTAATGCAAACACTTGATGAAATGTTCTGCTTTAAATGTTTTTAATGCTGAAAAATGCACACAAATGGACAATCAAATCAATCTTCTCGGTGTTAAATTTGCACTCAAACACTATTTTCACCATATCAAGCTCCAACTAACAAAAACATAGCACTACCGAGTGTTCAAATGTTAAAAAACAAACATTATATCAAAATAGTTTCTCATACATTTTATTTCATATTTTCTAAGAAAGGAGATACCAGCATACCATTCTACGACACTGATATTTTATGTCATTTTCAGGTACTGGATGCTCTGGCATTAATAGCGTTGATGGAAAGTCTTGAGCCAAAGAAAGATGAGTTAAATGACAATGCTAATAGAGAGCGATGGTTAAGAAGAGTAAAAGATGCTGGTCCAGTGGTTGAAAGAGTCTTAGATGCTGAGATTCAATGTACCATTTTCTATGGTGAGATTAGCAGAACACGTATTCAGCAGTGCAGGTAGGAATATGCTGTCAATCTGATTGTTGTCATTATTATTATTATTAAATTGTTATTGCAGGATATAAAGTAGAAAAGTTAGCATATCCCATATTAAGAAGAAAAAAAACATATACAAAACAAACAAAGTAAGAGAGAAAAACAAATATAAAAAGAATTGAATTATAATAGTTGTTCCACTGTACTTTGTTATTCAGCAGTGCAGCTAGGAATATGTTGTCACTTGATTTGATGGCATCACCATACTATTAAGTGTAGTTCAAGTTTTTTATGTTAATCATTCATTCTGATTTCTTGTTTTTATTTTTTGTACCAGTATACAAATATGACGTATAATCTTTTCTATTCCTAATTTGCAGACCACTGTGGGTTCGTCTTTGTGTCTTGAAGTTATTTGTAGAACATGTTTGTCCACCTAAGACGAAGGTTGGAGATGAGAACATTAAGCATTGTAATCGTCTGATGAAGGTATGTTTTGTGGTAAAGTGTGAAGATCAATCTTGACTACTTTATTTTTACTGCTACAAACTTTTCCTGACTGATGTTGTATCAGTAAAGATTTCACTTATTTACAGTTACAGAAGCTCTAACAGAAATTCTACATCTACCACTTATATAGCCCATTCCCATGATATGTGCGTGATGAAGGAACGACACTCCTGTGATGTGACAGTTTGTTCCTCTCACTGAAGTACTAATCTACCCATCCAACTTGATAACAACTTTGATATCCACAATAATTGTTGTAGTTGATGAGATTTACAATGACAGAATAATTTTTGTGGTTCTATCTAGGCATTGGGAGAAGGTGTTAACTTGAAATCTGTTCAGAGTGTCACAACGATAGAGAACTTTCTCAGGAAATGCAATGAGACAGCAAGTAAAGTTCATTTCAAGTAAGTAAGAAATAAAAGTATTTTGAAATTCTTGAATGATATATGGTATAATTAATTAGAGGTTATCCATTATTTATTGGTATTGTGAGAAGCAGTGTTGAAGCATTCCTTTTTAGTGTTAATTTAAATTTTCTAATTGTAGAGTTGGAACATCAGTTTTGTTGTCAAAAATCCTGTGTAGTACCGCAAAGTGATCAACACTGACTACTGGCTCGGTTGCGGAAAAGTGATGTTATTTCTGAATTCAAAGTTGGACTGTGTTTCTTTTTAACTCAGGCAAAAAATTAACACCAGGATCAAAAAATAACACCGGATCAAAAGATATAATACTGCAGAATATTAACACAGCTAAAACAATAGGACACTGCATATATCACATACGCTTTATATCATCTTTCACTATTCACTTGACCTTCAGTAGTTCAGGGCTTGATGTCCAAGGAGTTTGTGTTGATGCATTTTGAAAAATATTACATTGTACTCTATGCCAAGGCAATTTCATCAAATTTTACTTTGAAAATGGAAGTTTTATGTAAATTAATATCAATTGAGTATGTTGAAGCCTTCTGTGTGATGTGCACAACGGAAGGTGAACATTGTGGTTACCCTGTCTGTTTATCAGTTTCATGTATCTACTGTTGTAGTTTTATGGATCCAATGCATCATCCTTCCAGTTTTTATGTTGTGTGTAAAATTGTTCAACAGATATGGTGTACAAGATTGTGGTATCTGCCTTGAAGCAATAAATGAACCTGTGGCATTGCCTTGTGATCATGTCTTTTGTTTGAAGTGTCTGAAGGAACTTTTTAGGGTCACTGACACTAGAGCTTGTCCAACTTGCAGAAAGGAAGTATCAAAGCATTTTAGATTAGAGAGTTCTGCAAAATGCAAGTAAGTGATATGAACGCTTCTTTGCCTTTTGAGTTCATATATGTACATTGTATAATTTAAAATGTTGTTTCCAGAGAGCAATAAGCAACTTATCATGATGTTTTAATAATCAACAGTTACACATGTTACTCTGACAGATGATGGGAGTGGAGTATCATCCCAACT